TTGCAAAGGGCATGAAGAAGCGCAGTGGAATCCTCTTCTACGGCCCTCCCGGAACAGGAAAAACACTCCTTGCAAAAGCCATCGCCACGGAATTCTCCCTCAACTTCTTCAGCGTAAAGGGCCCTGAGCTGCTCAACATGTACATTGGTGAATCGGAAGCCAACGTCCGCCGTGTCTTCCAGCGCGCCCGTGACGCGCGTCCTTGTGCTGTCTTCTTCGACGAATTGGATTCCGTGGCGCCGAAGCGCGGTAACCAGGGTGATAGCGGCGGCGTCATGGACCGCATTGTGAGTCAGTTGCTCGCTGAGCTCGACGGCATGAGTGATGGCGGCGAGGGTGTGTTTGTTATTGGTGCGACGAACAGGCCAGATTTATTGGACCAGGCGTTGTTGAGACCCGGCCGTTTCGACAAGATGCTTTATCTGGGTGTGAGCGATACGCATGAGAAACAGCAGACTATTTTGGAGGCGTTGACTAGGAAGTATGTTTACATCTCTTTTCCCTTATGTTTCAGTCATTCAAGAATGGAGATGATGGGAAGAGGTTCATGGTTACTAACGATTTGGCAGATTTACTCTTCATCCGTCCGTTAGCCTCGCCCGCGTATCCCAAGGGTTACCTTTCACATATACAGGAGCAGACATGTATGCCCTCTGCTCCGACGCCATGCTCAAAGCCATCACACGGAGCGCCAAATCAGTCGATGAGAAAGTCGCAGCATACAATTCAACACATAACCCACCCATTACCATTGCTTATTTTTTCGACCATCTCGCTACAGAGGAGGACACGGCTGTCATGGTGACAGAAGAAGACTTTATGGAAGCACACAAGGAGCTGGTGCCTAGTGTTAGTGCGGACGAGTTGAGGCACTACGATAGGGTGAGGAAGCAATTCGAAGGTGCAGGGAAGAAGGAAGGGGCCGAGACGAAGAACGGTACTGCCGCTCCTCCTCTAGCCATCGAACAAGCTTCTAGTGCAACAACGGCCAAGGGCAAAGCGAAAGCTCCTGTCCACGAGGACGAGACCGAAATGGTTATCCGCACAGAAAACGTTCAGCTGAATGGTAATGCGGGTGTGAGTGGAAATGGACTGGCGGGTGGCGGTGTGGATATCAGTGGTGGTAGTGCGGCAAGCAGTGGCGGGAGTAGCAAGGGCAAGGGCAAAGCGCCGGTGAATCACAGTCAGGGAAAGAGTAGTGTTGACATCGCCGAAGGAGGATTTGGAGATGCAACGCAGGATGACGATCTGTACTCTTAACTTGTTTTTTTCTTCTCCTCGCACCTTTTTGCTGTTGTAGATATTAGAGATTTTTTACATGGCGCCGTATTTTTTAACTTTCCTTGTGATTGTGCCTTTTCCATTGAACTTCAACTCTGTGTATAGGGTACTCTTGCCCGGGCTGTGTTCTGTACGTTTCTCCTCCCTGCTTTCGGGTAGAACATCTCAACTTCAAGGCAGCGTGGAGGGTTCTGATTCATCGAGAGTAGAGTCTTGTTGGTTGGTGCGCTCTTGTTGTGGGAACGCGGCGCAAGTGCATGATTCTACGGCTCCGCGGTACAGTAACAAGTTTCCTAGATGCAAATGGTAGGATCACACAGGTTGAGTGTTCAGGTTCAAGATGACGGTAGATGGTTAGTCGGAGACTCGGAGCTTCGGCCTTGGTAACATGAGTAATGTGATGTCGCGCCCAAGTCTTACTATGCACTTATTGTCATTGGTCACATGACCATGAACCGTTGGTGCCGAGGTCGATCTATCTTTACCTAGGTATAGCTCTTATCCTATTCAAGTTAATCCGGTAGACCTACGTTACGATTCACTCGACGTGCTTGTCTATAGCTGTGGTCATCCAATTTGTACCGTGTTATGCGGGAGCTCCGGATAGGAGTAAAGTATAAGTTGTGACATCCATCTAATCTTGTACTATTCTCCACACGTATGGTACTTCTACCATCAAGTTGCGCAATTGCCTAACATGACAAGTCACCCTTCCACCATGAAGGCGGCGTTAGTCGTAGTAAGTCAGCCTGTCACCAATGACTTATCCAACTTCAGGGAAAGATAAAAGCAATCATCTAATCAACGCGACACACAGCGTTCCAAAGACTCCTTCACCTTTGAAATCAACGACGTTAGCATTCCCGAGCTTAGCCCCACAGATGTGCTAGTCAAGCTGTCCGTGACTGGAGTATGTGGAACCGACATGGCGCTTGCATCGGGCAAAGTGGGCCCCACACGGCAGATCCTGGGCCACGAGGGAGTTGGGTACATTGTGGCCAAGGGCGAAGCTGTATCGGCTAGCTCAGCCAAAATCGGGGATCGCGTTGCCATTGCCTGGCTCCGCGACATCTGCGGTAAATGCGTGTTTTGCTTGCAGCCCGGCGGCGAGGCTCGCTGCACGGCACAGCTCAACTCGGGACGCAAAATTGATGGGACGTTTGCGGAATACACCGTCGTGCCGGAGAGGTATATCATAAAGATTCCAGAGTCCATCGCAGCAGTCGAGGATCAAGTCATCGCGCCCATTGTATGCGGCGGCGTCACGGCATACAAGGCGCTCAAGATCTGCGGTGCGGTCGCTGGGCAATGGGTTGCAATTTCCGGAGCAGGTGGCGGTGTCGGCAGTCTGGCTGTCCAGTACGCCAAAGCGATGGGATACCGTGTGTTAGCCATTGATGCCGGGAGCGAAAAGGGCAGGTTTACTTTGTCAGCTGGTGCGGAGGAGTACGTCGACGTGCTTGCTACTACCAACCTTGCGGACGAAGTCATGAGAATCACACAGAACCGCCGTGCCAAAGCGGTGCTTGTGTGCGCCGGCGTCAGCGCTGCGTATGAAAGTGCGCCTAGGCTGCTAGGACCGTCCGGTACAATGGTCTGCGTGGGGATTCTCCCTCCAGGTCAACAAGTCCCTTACGAGCCGCTGCTTATGATTGATAATGATCTTAGAATCATTAGCTCTTCCGTGGGCACAAGAGAGGACATGTATGAAGCGTTTGAGTTTGTTTCCCGTGGTTTGGTTCGCCCAGTGACGACACAGAAGCGGTTGGAGGATCTGCCAGAGCTTGGTAGAACGCTTGGCCAGGTGAGTGGACATACTGTTAGGGAGTTGAGGTTCGAAATGACGCTGTTACTGACTGTGCACTAGACAATTGGAAAGCCTGTAATCCGATTCAAGCTATAGGTTTTATGTGAAGTAACATTACTGAAGACTACAAGTACAGGAAGAGACTGTATCCGCTCATTGACTGGTCTGCATGTTCATTGCCATGTCGACACATGATGCTTTGTATCTTAGTCTCGCAGTCTACAACACGGAAGACTGGACTAATAGGTTTTACAACCTCGCTCGTTGCTGCTGCACCTAGTGCTGTGTAAAGCTCCAGAAATGTATACAGTGCACACTCATCTAGAACTCAAATTTAAAATCAATACTACATTTTTGTTCCCTTGTGCAAGATAGTTTCTACACTACGGGTGCGAAGTCCTTTACTTCACTCTTTCTACCACCCCGTTTCACCTCAACCTTTTTTTCGTGAAAAACATAGTATCCAAGTACAATAGTTCGCCTACAGGTCTTGCGAGGTGCATGTTCGACGTGCCATTCGGAATGCTACAAGTGGCCACATCAGAATTCCCCGATTTACCCCTTTGTCTAAGTATTTGATACCTTTATGTGGATGTATCAGATCTCATACGTGAAGCAATATCCAGTAACGAAAGACTCTTCATTACTGTTGTGCGGCAAGCATCGTGGTCCATCCCTCGCGCATACAGCTACCACTATTTGAGAAACAAAGCGGCCGGCAAGAGTAACTTGTCCCTATCTCTGGTTCCTATAATCTATGGGCCTTTCAACTCTAATGAACCTTTGTTCGTGAACCTTCCAGAAATCCTGCTATCCGGCGATACATTTCCACAGGGTTAGAGTACATAGGGAAATGCCCACTCTCTGCTATTTCTGCCAGCATCACACCTTCGCGCTCTAGCCGCCTCAAATACGATAATCTGCGGTTCTCCACCCCAAACATAAACATCTTCGCACACGGCAGCCTGAGAAACATGCCCAGTAAGTCTTCTTCGTCAGAATATCGCACCATGGACTCGAAAATTGGTCGCACCGCGTGAGCGCGGACACGCGATCTCAAGGTACTCGCGAACAGATAGTTGCTGTACGACTTGGTCGCACACGTACGTTGAATAAAAGCATCGAGAAAGTCTTCTGGATCTTCGGTAGGGAAGTCAAATATCTGCCGGCTAAGAAAACAGTCTTCTGGTGCCAGATTTCCCTTGATGTTTACAAAGCTCAGTACTCGGTCCGGGTGCCGGCTCGCAAGCAGTAGTGCGGTCAGTCCGCCCATGGAATGGCCAATAAGGTGGAATCGTGGTATTTGAAAATGCGACAATATGGCTTCTGCTGTTTCGACCAGGAAGGGAATGGTTGATGTGGACGGGTTGGCGCTGTGTGTTTGTCCACATCCAGGAGCGTCGTAGGCGATATATGCATGGTGTTGAAGGAAGGGATTGACGGTTAGATCTGCGAGATCTTCCTTGCTGGAGCCGTAACCGTGAAGAAAGAGGATTGGGGGGTTGGAGTTTAGATTGTGGATTGTCGAGATGGTGAGGCTTGTGCCTTGAATATGGATAGGCACTTCTGTGTATGTGAGGGCCATTCTAAATGATGGAGATGCAGTGTGGTTAGGCTGAAGGATGGGGCGGCTGCAGATATCTCGTCCGCATAGGGTGATCGATCTTTGTGAAATATACCTTGACGTCGAATCATTAACAAGTCCGGCGCAGACTCGTTTCGCCGTGCTGATGAGTCTTTCAGCATCATAGTGGGGCCGGATATGCGCCTCGGAATGCACGCATGTTCACCGACGGCATGCGCGACTTTTCACCGAACATGACTGTTCAAACAACAACGAAGCTCAGATGTCATCATATAAGACCATCTACCCCCGAATCCACTATGCAAGCCTCATCCCGACCTCATCGTCATGCCCGAACTCATGAATGACGCAGAGAAAGCCGTGCCTGTTGGTGCGCCAATGGCGCCCGAAGCAATCGTTTCGCAGCCGCCCAACACGTTGAGCAAGACTGAAACCAGAGCGTCAGAAATTTTCGACAGTATGCCCATGTGGCGCAAATATGTCATCGTCTTCGCAACAAGTTGGACAACCCTCGCTGCATGCTTCTCGAGCACTTCACTCCTCAGCGCAAGCACCGAGATAGCAGTAGATCTGCACACCACCCCCGAAGTCGTCAGTCTCTCAACAGCAGGCATGCTTTTCGCCATCGGGTTGAGTTCGTTTGTGTGGAGTCCCATAGCTGCGGTGAGTCTTCATAGCAGTATTGCCTACGACAACGTTGGAGCTAAGTAACATAGATTGTGGGGCGAAAGTTGGCATACAATGCTTGTGTCGCGGTACTATTCAGTTTTACCATTGGTGCCGCTGTCGCGCCAAACATGCCCGTGTTTGTCACTATGCGCGTGCTGTCTGGCTTGCAGGGTTGTTATTTTCATGTTGCTGGTCAGACTATCATCGCAGAGTACTTTCCTCCTGTAAGTAGTCCACCCACATTCCAACACAACAAATGCTGATATCAGATGCTCTGGCGTAGGTTCAACGTGGTACTGCGAATGGCTTCTTCCTTGCTGGAACAGTTCTGGGACCGCCTCTCGGTCCTTTGGTGGCGGGCATCATGATGACCTACTCGACTTGGCGTAGTGTCCTGTGGCTGCAAGTCGCGATGATCGGTCTGGCTTTTATGCTCGCGCTATTCTTCGTCCCAGCGAGTAGGACAGATGCGCCGGCGCTTACGTTGAACTTGCGTGGACGGACTGCGTTGGCTCAATTCAACCCACTGCCAGTCTTCAAGCAGATGACCTACCCAAATATCATCATGACGGTACGTAACATGCAATAGCGTTGCATCACAAGTAAAGAAGCTGACCGTCTTCATCAGCATCTGAGTTGTGGCTTCCTTAGCTGGTCGCAATACTCAATCCTCTCCGCACCTCGTCATATCCTCGTTACCCGCTTCGGCCTTACATCCCCACTGTCCTCCGGCCTTTTCTATCTCGCGCCCGCGACTGGCTTTTTGCTTGGCACAATAGTTGGAGGACGCTACTCGGACATGACGGTAAGGCGATATATCAAAATACGTGGTGAGCGACTACCACAAGACCGGTTGAACGCGGGGATGCTATCTTTCTTCCTGGTGATTCCCACAGCGTCTCTCGTGTATGGATGGGGTCTGCAATATGGACCGACGTCAAGAGCCGCTCTTGCACTACCGATCGTAACGAGCTTCTTTACGGCGGCTGGACTCCTGGCCGCTTTTGCGAGCTTGAACACGTATTGCGCTGAAGCGTTCCCGAAAAAAAGGAGAGGAGTAATTGCGGGCAAGTACCTTGTCCAGTACACATTCTCGGCTTGCTCAAGTGCTGGTGTGGTGCCCTTGATGGAGGCTATCGGCATCGGCCCAACTGCTACCATCAGTACCGTGCTGGTATTGGCGGCTGGTGGGTTAACGTTCGTAACGGCTAGGTATGCCAGCTCCATGGTTGAACGAGTGGATGCAAAGGATGCTCGTCCTCGAGCAGCATGGAGTTGGCCGAAGATGATTTCAACGGAAGCAGTGTTTCCTATCGCCACGATTGGTCCTCGGCGTTAGATCGTGTACACACGTGTGCCTTATTCAATACATTAGTCAATCTAGTTGCGAAGATCCAGTCTATCCGTGCATTGTTTGTTCAGATATCTCCACCCACTCCCCAACCGTCCGCCCACCAGTATGGTGTCTGCAATTCATCAAAAGCAGGGTTACTGAAAGCTTGAAGATCTAGATCGGATTCGGAAAGAAAGTAACGAAGGGAGGGATCAGCAAGAGCCATACCAGCGGTCATTGCCTCGCTGGAAGGAGGAAGCAATTGCTCTGCACTGGCCACTGACGGTTGCTGTGGTCGACCTAGCGCAAAGCTGGTATCTGCCACAAGTTGCATACTCTGCTCTATCGCATCCATATGCTTAACGAACTCTTTTGCGCCATAGTTACCGCTTTGAGCAAGCTGTCGCAACAACTCCACCGCGTTGTTGAAATCGTCACCGTCTGCTTGACTCCGCGGTGACTGCAGAAGACTAGAAATAGCGAGGACCGTAGTAGCTGAGAAGAGGTATTGCGTGTCGAAATAATCCAGCGTAGCCAAGGATCCGTGAATCCAGGCTTCCGTAAGGATGCGATAACTGTGACGCGCGCATTGAATGCATGTTTCGGCAAGTGCGAGAGCGCCTTCAGGAAGGTTGCGTTTGGGATCGATAGTTGGATTTGACCATGACTGCTTGTGGCTGCGGAGAACATGTAGAAGTATCGGTCGTGTGGCAAGAATACAGCACTGTCAAGGTCAGCTTGAGTTTGATGTGATCATAGTAAACAAACCTGGTTGAAGCGCAGATGTATGTAGACAATGTGGATAGGTGCTGAAGTGTCGTTGTCCTCGAGATGAAACTTAACTGGCAGGTCGTCCATCCATTTGGTGAGATCCTTGAGCATCGCCTGAACCCTTTTGGAAAACGAATCGTGATGGTTTCTCCTACTGTAGATAGCTCGTGTCAATCGAGCAGCAAGTTTGGCCAACTTGATGCTATTCAAGCTGTAATCAGTGTCGCCAAAATCGCCTTCTTCTGCAGCATCGAGACCGTCACTGCTGGGAAAGTCTACCATGATATCTTCATCAGCAACAGATACTGGAAGACCGAGTTTTGATGCGCATGATCTATCAAGAGCATATGCAGACCACCATAGCCGTACGCGATGCTCTCTCGCAAGCCGATCGGGGCACTGATGTTCAGGTATGTTCATATTCATGCCCATGATAAGACCAAGTCTACAGGCGGAGCTTGCGAAGATGTAAGCCGAATGGCGACGATTGACAGTGAAGGAATAAAGAACCTTGCAGGTATCAGAGAATGTTTCCGCTTCATGTTTTTGGTGCCACAAACCAATAGTAGGGTGACCTCTATGGTGTCCATCTGCGGCCGCTCAGCAGGAATGCTAATCATCCTTCTTGCTTGAGCAAAGTAGGCTAAGCCGGGAAAGGCCGCATCCATTGAAGCATGCTTGGCAGAATACACTTCGCCCAGGGCGAATAGTGCTAAAAGCTTACAGATGACTACCCGGTTACCATTGCCGTTGTTCTTGATAGCGTCTTCCAGGATTCTCGTGACTTGGCTCTTGCGTACGATATGGTAATATTGGCAGACGGTAGACAGGGCCACTTTGACCAAGAAACGTGCTCTTGCAGGTGACGGCCAACTAGACGGGGCTTGAGACGGCAGCATCAGGTAATCGTCTTGTACGTGGTCCATTCGAGGTAGATGCTTGGTATTTCCTACGGCAAGAGTCTGGCGGAATCTTGTCGCAAATGCTGCGTCGGCAGCTTCCCCAACGTGGATAGGTACATGCTCAGAGGAAACCGCATGGAACCAAGGCCTATCCTCAAGTAGTGGATTACGCACGGCTTCATTCACAGCTGTGTTGCTTTCGAGAGCTTCTTCGACGGGAACAGCAGCCTGAGCCAACCCGGAGGGGCCGCTGCGTAGGCGCTCGAGATCCTTTAGACGCTCGTAATCCTTTAGCAGTTCATTCAAGTGATGTTCACTGAGCTTGATTTGTCGGTCGCGCGATGGATACACGCAAGGCGTCGTTTCAGCGTTATCGCGGCAGTTTGAGCATGGGTGGCCTCCCGAGCATTTCACTTTGCGCGAGTGACATCTTTGGCAACTACAAACACTATTAATTTCGCAAGAGCGTGTGTAATGATGAGTCATCTTACGCGACTGGCTTGCTGCCCCTCTTTTGCACCGAACCAGCCCTCAAAGGCTGTGTTGGTGAGGTCGTCGGTGGCATGCTGAAGGTTGCCGAAGAGTCAGCAGTGGCGAGGTCGGAGGTTTGTTGGCGAAGCCGAGAACGTTGGAAAAAACCGCTCACACGGCGAGTGATCACGCACGCCGCCGAAACTAGCTTCCATTATTATCGCCGAACACGCAACGACGAGCTTATGGCATCTGGGTACTAACTGCATACCCAGGCACCTTCTCGGGAATGCTAACTTGGGTTGTCCTTGTTTACGAAACGCTACTGTCCCCACCTCTTCGGTCTTTTTCATCCGTTATTCGGCTTACCTTCAGCCTGGTCTCGCGTACTCGCACTCGCGCTTCCAGACTTCTCACAAACTCTAGAAGAATTTGAATACGACTCCTCCGTGCTGATGTACGCCTGCAAAGATTGCAGAGCGAGGCTGCATGCTGACTGTATCCATTTACTGTATAACAAAGCAAACAAGTCGGAAATGTGCGCAGCGGCTGGTAGTCGCATTTAAGACTATATGAATCATTGCTAATGATGTGTCTTCGTACAGACACTTTTTCCTTCGTCTATTTCTTACCTCGAGTGCTCTCCCTCTAATGGAATGGAATTTTCAAGCTTACTCCAAGTGCGTTGATCATCTTCTCAGATATCCTGCATGCAAAGATTGGGCAGTGGCGTGTGGCCGACGTTAACTTGGGATATTTCTATTCTCAACCTTTCATGGTACTTGGTGGCACCTGCATGGGTTCTTCAAGATGTACGTAGTTATCGTTGGGTTTGTAATATATGATACTGATTTGCATACTATTCTTCCTATACCGATAGACCAACGACGAATTACACGGTTTAGTGGCAAGTATACATAAGCAGTAGAAGAACCGCGGTTCCTCAACTGTCAGACTCCTCATCGCTGGTGTGCCAGGCTACGCCAGTGAGTTCCAAACGCCTATCCAATAACATCTGTCTACATACCCCCTCGAATTCCATACCATTCGCCACTTGGCCCTCAGATGGATCGAGGAAGAGTATTTTGTCATCAGCGCAAGGCCAGGAAATATCATACATAGAAAAGGCCCACTGATCAAACCCATCCGCACAGACCACGTGAATTTCTTCTACGTTCTTAAAGTCTTTGAGTTCTCGTTTCTCAGTATTGAACCAAGCCTCATTGCTATTCTCGCGCTCAAACTTAAGTCGCTTGATTTTTGATGCGATTGGTTTGAAAGCACTGAGATAGGAATTTCCAATGTCTACCATGTCGATGTCAAAGTTCAACCAGACATATCGCCGCTCGATGCTAGGTCCGTAGATGCCAGTCACATCGAGTTTGTCGATGAGGTACAGACCCTGTGGCCTGTGTTCCTCGGGCAGATCAAACGGGCGTCTATCGACCATGGTGGGTTCAGAGTTGCGTCGATGATGGCGATTCACACGGAATTCGGAACTGCTCAGATGGGAAGGACGCGAAGGACTGGGAGGGCTCTCGACCCCGATACCGTACCAGTACGTCGCGTACATACGCCGCTCGGTATTCCGTTGAGTGCCAATATCGAAGAAAGCTTGTTGATACAACCTCTGTAACTCATCTCGGGCCACTCTACAGCACTGTAGCGGTCCAGGCACCGGTGTGGACGATATCAAAAAGGGATCCCGATCAGGCTTCCAGTGTTCGACACGGACTTCGACGGTGCGCGGCTCAACAGTGCACCTCCATATCTGCCTTTGAAGCTCCAATGGTAGTCGAGGGAATGGGTGGAAAGTGGACGTCATGTTGGATAATGCCCGAGTATGCTTGGTCTGTCACCAATAGCCCGATGAAGTGGTCAGCACAACGGATTGATATGCTATCTCACTAAGCAATGTGTTTAATGATGGAATACGGTGTAACAAAAGTTCCGTTAACAGGATTTCCGTAGGATCCGGCTCAGCTTTATCAAGTCTGCTTCTATGACAAGGCTGATGCAGGTACTGGATGCTGGTATCCAGGGGCAAGGGGCCGCTAGTTTACTTTAGGCGGAACGCACGAGACACAACACTACCTAAGATTCCCCTTCTTGGCACCTTCCAAAACAAGCCTTCTTTCCGCCGCGCCGCATGGCCCACACTGCCGGGTAGCGTGAACGTGAACGAACCGCGGGCGACTACATACAACATGTCAAATTTCACTCATGCACTTGGCGTCTTGACAGTGGCGCAGCGGAATTAGCGGAGCAGGACGCCACTGCGAGTCGACCAGCGGCCTTGCCGAGTTGGCTGGCAAATCCGCAGGAAGCAGCTGCTTTGCACAGATTCCCTGTAGCCGGGGGTCTCGATGGCTCGCTGAAGGATTCTCGATATTGCCTTGCAAGGCTCGATTGACTTGTGTTCTAAAAGCCGGCATCAGTAGTCAAAGGATGGTTCGGACCATCGAATCACCTTACGCCAGAGCCGGATCTTGTCTCTTCTGTTCAACTCCAGCAAGGGTGCTATACATCTCCCCATCACCTGCTTCCATCCCTCAGGAAAATCTTTTTTGAGCCTTATCCATCAGCTGCTTCCCCTCAAGCCAATCTGCATGATGAGAACCGCTTTCCCCCTGTTGCTTGTGGCCTTTGTTCAGCGAGTAGCTTCCTCACGCTATCCGCTCCTCCAATGGGACCCCGAAACGGTCGAGGACTGCATCGAATGGTACGACAACGGCCAAGGCAAGACTTGCGAATACGTGCGCGAGCTGTACGGCTGTAAGCCCCCTTTGCACAGCCGATGGTTTACCCATACTGATACTGTATCTTACCACTCAGACACCGCAGCAGAGTTTAGCGAATGGAACCCATCAGTCGGCCTTGATTGCAAACCCTGGGATTGGCAATCCTACTGTGTTATCACGCAAAGGAAATATGACAGTATCCATCCAACGACAACCTCCTCGAAGGTGACCACCACCACCACCAGCACGAGCCAAGCTCCTTCTCTTGGGCCTTCCCCTACCTCCTGGGACGCCTTGGGATGCTACGCTCAGAACCCGAATCGCCCAATCCTTGAGAAGAACATGGATCCTAACGGAGATGCGTCTCTAAGAGTTGCAAAGTGCAAGGACAGCTGCTACCGCGACGCCTATACTTTTGTAGGAGTGCAGGAAGGGAACCAGTGTTGGTGCAGCAGCTACGTGGCTGGTGAGTTCACCAAGAACCAGACTGACTGCAATATACCCTGCACTGGTAACAAAGCGGAGTTTTGTGGAGGCAAAGGCGTCATCAACGTTTTCAGAGCATTGGAGAACGCTGCGCCAGTTACCACGATCAGTGTGACTAGCGCCAGTGTAACTAGCACCAGTTTGGCTAGCATCAGCGTGACTAGCACCAGTGTCAAGGCAGCTGCCGCAAGCAATAGCGCTATCAAGAATAGGGCCATTATTGGGATACTTTATAGAGCTTGTTGTCTTTGATCAAGAACGGCTTCATACATACTGTGGTGGAGTATATCTATGGCTACATATAATCTAACACTATCTCTTGTATCGAGCGCCCGTTTTGGTGGAGCAACTCCAAGTTACTCTACTACACTGAATACACTGTGATCGAAGCTTGACCCTTTACAAGGGTCATTAGTCTCGACTAAACCAAGATCTTAGTATAGTTTTTATTCTTCTGACACGACCTTATCCAGCCTGCGTGTTCGGGACAAATTATTGCTCACCAATGATTGGTCTTGATCGAAGCTGCCTCGGGGAAGACTAGCGTGACTAGCGCCGAATTTACCAGTATCGTCCATACGGCCGTAATGGGAAAATCTCAACCTCCGCGACGACAGGCTACAGAAAAGCGTAGGGTCTTCTCTCAAAAGCTGGGCATTACTTCGGTAAAGCGCGGGGTTCTCTAGCAATAGCATACCTAGGTATGTCTGCATATTACTCAACAACGTCAACTAGTACCGGCCAGTGCTGCACGGCATTAGTCTGAAACCTTATATACCTGCTCGAAAAAGATATAAAATTAGCCAAAGCCCCAACTCTCTGGTGGTAGAATCGGGCTTACTACAATCATTTGTCTTCCTATCTATTCGTCAACGACTATCTACAAGCACCCACGATGACAACAATCACATCTCCGGTGTTGGTAACGGGGGCAGCGGGTCGAGTCGGCAGTGTTGGAAGGCGTGTCGTTGAAATCCTACGAAAGTCGGGTTTACCGGTTCGCGCGTTGGTTCGTCGCGATGATGAACGCGCAGAATATCTTCGCAGCCTTGGTGCCGAAGTGATCATCGCCGATCTTACGAAGTCGGAACAGATCGCACCAGCTGTCGAGGGATGCAGGCTCGTGTTCTTTAGCACGAGTGTTGCATCTGATTATTTGACGGCCTCGGTGGTCATGACGGCAGCTGCTAGAGCCAATCCCGAGATTGAGCTTCTAGTCAACCTTTCCCAAATGACGGTTTCGAGAATGGATCTAACAAAGGTTACCGATTCACCCCAGCAAAGGGTTCATTGGCTAGCTGAACAGGCACTCAACTGGTCTGGAGTCCCTGTGGCACACTTACGTCCTACCGTGTTTCAGGAGAGCCCTTTTTTCTGGGGATTGCCCGCCAAGTCCATTGCAGACGCTGGTATCATCGCCTTACCGTTCGGACGAAGCCACACCAATCCAGTGGCTGCCAATGATGTTGGAGAAGTCGCCGCCGCAATGCTACTAGAGCCATCCAAGTACGTTGGAAAGACAGTTGAGTTAACTGGACCGCAATCCGCCAGCATGTACGACCTTGTTGAGGAGTATTCCTCAGCGCTAGGTCGTCCTGTGCGTTACATGGAGGTTTCCTTGGAGAGTTGGTTGGAGGAATCGCGCATGCAAGGTCGTCTTCCCGAACACGTTTTGCAGCATGTCACAACGATGGCCAAGCTTCACGGAATTGGGGAATACGATCGGGTAACAGATGCAGTATCAGAGATACTTGGTCGTCCAGCTGCAAGCATATCGGAGACAATAAAGGCTGGTCATATTCCCTTCGCACCTTTATCCTTGTAGAGAACCGAGGCTCTCTGTCTCCACATTCTCAAGCTCAATCACATAAGCAATTGCTGAATAGCGGCTCTAGCTAGCGATGTAGACGTCTTTTATAAGACCACATTCATTCCTCTTGTATGAGCTATACCAACACCGAAGGCATTCTTCTGTGTACGTATGAGTAAGACAATCGCCGTAAGACTCCAACGTAATAAAGCTTACCACTTTACAAGCTGTAATAGGTGTATATGGCTCCGCAGGATCCTCGATGCCTTCCAGTTGCAGTATGGCCGGGGGAGCAGCGACGCTGGATGGATACAAAGGGGAGCCGGGGGAGTAGATAGCCGTGTCGCCATTCCAGAAGCTGCGGCCGTCCTGGATGCTGCTCATTTTAAAGCTTTGGGGTTAGCAACAGCTACAACAACTTTGGGAGGACTTACTCAGGGTTTTAGTAATGCAGTCGGGTGTGAAGAAAAAGCAAAAGCTTAGCAGCGCGTTTTATTACAAGGTGCGTTTATGGTCTCCGTCCCCCTTAGTACCCGGTACTAGAGCAACTTTATTACGACTATGGTTGTGATCCTGATGGGCCTCTACCTATTGGCGGTTTGTGTAACTTGCTGGGTATTGTCTAGTATTTTAATACATTTTTAAATCGTGTCCTTATTGGCCCTCTTAGGCCGAAACGTTTGCCTTAGCCGCTTGTGACCGCAAGAAGGCGAGGGTTTGCTAAAACTCGTGATATTATTCGTGTGTAAGCAGTACCTACTACCCAGGTGCTTCTAGTATAGTGGCCGGTGGCCACTGGCCGCCCGAAATAAATAATAGTAATAGGTGTATATATTACGTTACACTGCCAAGGCATCTCAGTAGAAGAATTAACAGGGCGTTCTGATATATTCATATAGGAATAAAGCTTAGGAAGCTTAGCTACATCTCTGGCTTGGATAGTCCCTTTGCTTCTCACAAGGACCGCACCGAATATTTAGCTCTCCCCATCCACCTTGCGCTTCTCTGACCGTTGCAGATATGCCATACATTCACGTCGGTTGATAGTGTCTAGCTACCAACGATTGACTAGTCGATTTCTCTAACAGCTGTTGGTCAGGCTAATCTTGACGTTCGGCCCAGTAATTCGGCCGCTTTCGTTGTCTCAACACTGATGCCTAATCTTCGCCTTCTTGCGGTAAGCCGAAGTTCTTTTACCCCGCGCAAGCAGCTAGCCTGTCGTTCAAGTACAGTCCTTCCTTCCTCCGATCAGAACCTGAACCCCTACGGGATGACTTAAGAGAGCTTCCATCGGCTCTGCGTCGGCTGCGCAGCAAACGAGCACCTGCCACCAAGCACACTGCGGCCACTTTTACTTATCCTTGGCACCGAAGTACACTGCAGAATACGCAAAATTTGGTAACCTAATCTCGTAAGCCTACAATGCATCAGATGGAGGACGCACAGACTCGAAAACAGGTTCTCATTGATGCTGCAATCGACAACAACGAGCCGGAGCTACTGGGGCATGTACTGAAGATCAATGCGCAAGAGCGCATGGAGGATTACGAAAATCAAAGACTCATAGAAGCCGCGACAAGAAAGAATTCCCTACCATGCCTACGCTATCTCATCGAACACGGCCTCAGCACTGAGTATATTGATATCTCGGGTGGGGAGGTCTCAATTTCGACTCTCGAGTTCTTGCTTGCTCATGGCTGGGACATCAACTCGACAGGAACTCCACGGTCTTATCGTAGTCCTTTCATGTGGTCTTGTATCCATGACCGCGAAAAGCTTGTATGGTGCATAGAGCATGGCGCCAGTCTTGCGACGCCCTGGCAGGAGCCGCATAGAAAACCACGCGAGCCGATACTCGAAAGAGTCGCATGGGGTGGCGACATCACGACATTCGAGCTTTTACGTTCCAAAGGTGCTCCTTTGGGACCTTGTACGCTGCATCAAGCCGTGGTGCGCGCAGCATTTTGTCATGATTTTTCAGGCGACCCAGAAAAGGATGATGAAAAGCAAAGCCAAGGCAGAGCGCAGTATACCCAAAGTATGGCTATGGTGCGCTATCTGATTGACGTAGTGGGCTTGGATGTCAATAAGGAGGACTTTCCGCCTGACACCATATGGTTACAAGGCGAATGGGGGACGCCGTTGCAGTACATTGTGTTGGCTGGCTTGGACCCAGGAAGGAACGCACGTGAGCTAGTATGGTTCCTGCTCGACCGAGGTGCGGATCCAAAGGCGGCACTCGTGGAGGCAAAGGCGTTTGGTGGTCACGCGGCCTTCAAAGAGTGGGTGGAGGCTTGGGAGCAAACTAGAGAAGAGAAGAAAGACAAGAGTCGATGCACTGTCCTGTGAATATAACGGGCTTCATGCCTCTTCTTTTGTCAAGAACGTGCTTCTGATTGTGGCAAGTGGTGGACGAGCATGCTAAAGTTACTTGGTATCACCAGACACCAGACTAGGCTACAGATCAATCTGTATCATAACATTCACACAACTGCAGCTATCGCGCACATGGTCTTGAGCACTACCTAAGTACCCCGTAGACGCTTTGAAACCAGCACGGGAGCCCAATGGTCACTATACCTAGGGAAGTATCGTACGATGCTCAGTTCCCACTCCCTGCAAGGTCACAAATACTACTTCAAGATCGCTGGCCAACCCCTCCGCCACAGCAGTTTCCGCTTCCCTGACATGGTCGAAGATACGTTTACTCCCCCACAGGCCCTCATACCTCTTCAGATACAGTTTGCGCAGTCCCGTTAGTCTTGTCAAACCAGAGTTGCTATCAGTCAATCAGTCAGTTGTCAGTTCATCTTTGCGGTTCAAACTGTCAGTCTGGAGGTAGTGAACTGACCTGATTGACTGCCAAGACATTTTTTAGAATCGCGAACTGAGACT